TGGAATAGAGGGAAATCTCATGAACTAGGGATTAGTGTTTACATTTTTAAGTTCAAAATTACAGAGCCTCACTCAAAGATCAGTGAAAGCACAGTCGTCATTATTAGTACACATTTATGGGTTAGTGCGAAGGGAGAAAGAGATCAAAGACCGAAGGGACACTTGGCCCCATTTATCTCAGAAGGAGGATGGCCACATGTGACGGGCCTGATGGCAGTGTAGTGCTAAAATGTTTATATTGAACGTTGTGGTGAGTATGTGTGTCCTTGGAAATCTGTAATATGATGTTACTTGTCTATAAAATAATGACCGTGGTAGTCCCTTTTAGGAATCTAGGACTTTTGATTCACTTTCAAATCAGTTTTCAGATTCACAGTTGATTTTCTCTAGGCCTGTTAGAAGTCTTGGAGAATTCAGACTGATTTGAAATTAATTACTTCTTTGAAGTTAGTAATTATTTCCATACAATAAGGCATGAATTAACCTTCTGTTCTGCCCATAGATCAATTTGAATATGATGGAAATGTGTAAATATTTAAATACTAAATGGAATTTAGAAGGTACCTTAAAATTGTGCTGTAACTTAAGCAGTACTAAATTAGTTTTAAATTGATCATATTCTAATTATAGTTTTTGGAGAGTAAACTTTAAAAAATTAATTAAGCCCTAGCTTTTCTTGATTTTTTTCCATCTTATGAATTTCCTATAGTAGAGTTCACTCAGGAAGCTTTAAAATGGAAGAAAGATCTTTGGCCCTTTCCCCAAATTTCAGATACTTGGGAAATAATTTAAAATGTATAGGAGTCATTTTCCAGTCCAAAATTTCCATCCTATGTTCTAAATTTTTGAGAATGACAAAGTTTCTCATTAACTTTATCATTTGCTTAACCTCTTCCCCACCATTTTTGCATTCATTGAATACATTTTATGATTCTAATTCATCATTTCATCAACTACAAGTCAACCCTAGCTATCAGCTTTTTAGAAATTAATAAAAGCTTACTGTATCATTCTAAGATTTTAAAATTGTTTTCATTTTTTGTTGCCCTTACACACATTCATCTAGGAAATAATTACAGTCCCAGTTCCCTTTGAAATGCAGTTTATAGAGGTAAAAAAGAATATGGACCAAAGCAAACTATTTTAGCAACTGAAAGTTTCTATATCATAATTCTGAAGGTGACATCGTGAAGAAAGATTAAATGTGTTATTATCTAAAAATCCCTAATTATTATTATTAAATATTTCTAATTAAAATATAATAATTCATGGCTAAATAAGAGAATTATAAAATTATTGTATATAAATGCTACTGATTTATTACATACTCAGGTTATAATTATATAATTATATAATGCTAACAATACAATGGAATTTTGAAAGCTCCCTTTTATCTGTTTTATTTTAAATTATTTTCATGTCCATATTTATATTGTAGTTCCTTGAACAGAATTTTTCTCACTCATGTGAGTCAGGAGACTTAAAACTAAGACAAGAATTTTGTTGTTTTTTTTTATGTTTTACTCCCATGGACCTCTGAAATTTAGGTCAATTGCATCAGTATATTAGGAAATCCTAGATTAGGATTTTGTTTTCTAAGAGCTGATGTGTACCCTTCTGACAAATATATTCAGTAAGTATACATCGTTTTCTGGAACATGTACTGTATTTTACTGAACACAAATATAATCTTGTTCTAGCCAGGTGTTCAAATTTCAAACAGGTTCAGTGATTCAAGCACCTGCCATGCTAAAACCACACCTTTCACTCTTGGCTTGAGCCAAATCCCTCTATTAAATTAATTCCACAATGATTATTTGGGTTCTCAGACTATGATAAGTCAAAGAGGCAAACAAAATTCAGAAAGGGGAGTGTACTAAAAGTTGAAACATTAGATGGTCTAATATACTGGAAAAAGATCTAGAAGACAAAAGTGTGAATATGTATAATCTCTTAGAGTCTTTTAAAAAAGAAATAATTATAGTTAAGAAAAGGTTACTGTGCTTTTTGGGGCAAATAATGTGTCCATACAAACAACTCACACACCCGTATGTGACCGACAGAAAACATGATAAATAGTATTGGAAATTACTTTTCAAAGCATATATGGCAAACTTCAGATACCTGGAAAATATCTTTCATCATCATTTTTCCCATAGTAGGGTATAAAGAAAACATTTTATTCGAAGTCACTAAGCCCAGAACCTGTGAATATGTTACTTCATATGCCCAAAGGATTTCTGATGTGATGAAAAGATATCTCATGATGTGGGGCCGGCAGGGAATCCTAGGTTATTGGGGTGACCGCGATGTCAAGACAAGAGAAAGCGGAGGCCCGGACAAGAGGGGGGTGGACTTAGAACAGAGGTAGAATATTGAGCATATGACAGTCCTTTAATGTCAGAAAGTATATTGAGTCTAAATAGAACAGACCTGTGCCTACTCAAGTCTAAACAACCTACATAGAAATTACCTACTTTGATTGCTAAAAATAAAATATATTTTCACCCCAGGTTGGCATTCCCTTGATAGCTATCTATAGCTAGGCTGCTTCTACTAATGGATTGTTTGATAACCAGGGAAAACAAAATTTAATAGCTCACTCCAAAAGCTTTTAGAATTAGACACTATAGGAAAGAAAATAATACTAATTTTAATATTGACTGACATAGACAACACATAAATATAAAACCTCTATCTTGGTTGAAAATTATTGCAAAGGAAAAAGTTGCTTAAAAACTATCTGAACACTATTATTTAACTGTGAAAGAGCACATTTTAGACGGCTTCATAATAACTACTCAAATTATGATCACTAATTATAAACATCAGACTACCACCTTGTGTTTCTATAGCACCAGTTTTTACATAGGCGAGTGAACAAGGGTATAGGTCTTTTGCTTATTATTTGTTTTTCATTTGATATTTAAAAAATGTGAATCAATACTTGTTATAAGTATATTTGGGAAGTTGCAGATTTTACTAGTTAGTGAATACATTTGTAAACATAAATGATCAGGCTTTCTTAGAAATACCCAGTTTCTTCTATCATTGCTTGTTGGAGCCTCTGTTTTTATTTTTGTACCATCAATCTTTGTGGTGATTTTTACTCTCTGTCAGTAATTATTTTCTTCTTTGTGTTTCCTCATCTAATCTCAAGGTAGAGAAGAAAATTGTCTCAATAATTTCCTTTGGATTTAAAACAAAAAAACAAACAACTAATATTAGTGAGTAGCACTAATGATGAAGTAACTTCTCTAATTTACTGAACCTGCTGTTGAGACTTTCTGAAGCAGTTGATGCTACACAATAACACCATTGATTTGAAACCCTTCATTCTGAGAATATCTTATTAAACCACATTTTAGAATGTTTTCATAATAATTTACTATCATATAAAAGGACAATATACATCTTGTAACCCCTAAGAATAAGATAGAAGTTTGTCTTCATCTACCATTTCATTGGGTAGTACAGTGTATTTTTTATTAGTTTTGCAAAAAGCCTGTTAAGTAAATATACTCCTCCCCCACAAGTGCTAGCTAACCTGCAGCTTGAATTTGAATTTTTCTGCAAGCAATTCCTAACTCCCAAAGCATTATTTTACCACCACCATCATCATATTAAAAAAAAGAAAAACTTTTTCTACTACATAATTCTGAGAGGTAACAAGAATAGAAATGTGACAAAAATGCATAAAAAGGAAAGATGAAGTAGGTAACTTTTGTGTCTGTTGATATTTAGTATTTATTCACTTATTATTATCAGAGAGTACCAGTTGTCTAGGAACTCTGGTGGCATAGGGATTTTTCCATTAGGCTACAAACTGCAAGGTCTGCAGTTCAAAACCACCAGCTACTCTGCTCAAAAAAGATGAGGCTTTCTACTCCCATAAAGAGTTACAATCTCAGAAACCCATAGGGGACAGTTCTACTCTGTCCTATAAGTTAGCTACAAGTCAGAATCAATTCAAAGACATTGCACTTGATTTTTGGTTTTGTACAAGTTTACTGGATTATACTGAAGTCCCAATCTACTACTTTATGGAAGTTTGGCAAAACTATGAACTTAGGAAATGTAGACATTTTAAATTCTTTTCTGATTCAGGAAACTCCGGTTTAGCACAATTTGTTCGCTGTGTTTTCAATATTATAAAATCAAGAACTGGGCAATTTCAATACAGTTCATTGTTAAATTTTGAAATGAGTTTGAAATCCATTAGCAAAGCTATCCTTCATTTTATTTTCATTTTGTGAGTGTTTTCCTGAGTAATACTCACATAGCATTTTTGCTCTCCTCTCATAGTTTGTATCTGCCACTTTTGAATATCATTGAAAAGCAAGTTAATGTTCTTGGCTTTTTAATAATTTAGGAAGTCCTTTCATACACCTTTTCTACATTAAAGTCCAGAAGGATTGCCTATTTGTTTGGTTAAATGAGGCCTGGTGGCTCAGTTGTTGGAGTATTCAGAAACTAAGCAAAATGTTAGCTGCCAGCTACTCTCCAGAAGGAAGCTGTGCAGTCTGTTTCCTTAAAGATGTCCTGCCTTGGGACCCGCTGGGGCAGTTCTACCCTGTCCTTTAGGGCTGCTAGGATGGGCAATCCACTGGATGACTGTGGCCAGTGGAGTTGTTTTTTAGAGAACCTGGCATGAAATTATTTATTATGCAATGATTTCTGTCTCGCAGTAGCACAGACCCGCTCACTTCTGTAGTTTGTGCAAACAGCCATAGTTGGGCCAGGCATCTCTCCAAAGCTCATGAGTTAGGGAATGGTAATTATAGTAAGTTGTATATTATAAATAATGCATACATGCTCCACATGAGCTATGTGGTATTTCAGCCCATTTGCTAGAACATAGCTGCATAATGATTTGTTTGGATTTTGTTGCAGATGATTGATAGTGCAGGATGTTGGCAATGATGTAAATTATTGTTGGGCTGTCTTGAAAATTTCAGCACAAGTAGTGATTTCTTTTCTTTTTCTGTGTGCTTGTCTAGTCTCGGCAGACACCTGAGGGTGAGTTCCTGCCCCTTGACCAACTTGAACTGGATGTAGGTTTTAGTACAGGGGCAGATCAACTTTTTCTTGTTTCCCCCCTCACGATTTGCCACGTGATTGATGCCAAAAGCCCCTTTTATGACTTGTCCCAGCGAAGCATGCAAAGTGAACAATTCGAGATTGTCGTCATCCTAGAAGGCATTGTGGAAACAACTGGTGAGTAAAAACATAGCTACGTCGTCAAGTTTCTTTATTCCGTGATAATGTCATATGCACAAGATCTGTGATAAAGTGAACTAAATGCCTTGAAGCGTTCACATACGTGAAAGTAAAGATGTGACTCTTGTTTCTTGGTAACATTAAATTGACAACTACTTCGAAAACCATGATTCACTGTTTGGATGGTTCCATCCATAATATTATCTCAAATATTCAGTGTCAAAAAATGGGGGGAGAGTACGCAAATGGCTTCTTAGGCTGTTCTATTTTAATTATGATCTTGGACTTCCTATAATCATGATTTTTCTTTAAAGATTCAAGGTAAAAAAAAATATCTGTGTAATTAGTGAGCAGCCTGGGCTCAGCATGTGTTTCTTGCTTTGGGGAGGGTGATCCCGGGTGTCATTGATGGAACTTTGAAATGATGCTACTTGTAACCTCAGTGGAAAATTGCCTCTGTTTATGTGTGTGCATGCTAAAGCAGCGCTTTCATTTCAAAATAGATCAGTAGTACCAAGACAATATATAGATATATTTTATTAAGATGCAATTTAACACTGGTATTTACCACTACGTGTGAGTCTATTCTTTGGGTCTAGCCATTGTCCAGCTATATATCTAGATACATGTGTATATATCTATCTGCAAATATATCTGTATATCTAGAGATACTTTAACTTCTTTTTACAAACAATGAGTTAGGATGGCATTTTTTGGATTAAATTCCTTCTGCTAAAGTCATTTGGATTATCTCTCAAAATGCTACTTACTATATAGAAACAATGACATCATTAAAATTAGCATTTACAATATGACAGATAAATTCAAGCGCTATACCGGTGTGCGGGACCTTTGCTATGTGGCCTTTGCTTTTGTCCAAGGCACAGGGCAGGTTGTTCATTGTCATATTTGCATCTCTGTTACTTAACACCTGTTGAAAAATTTGGCAAGATATGTAATTTTATGTTTCTTTTTCTTCTCCTAAAACTGAAGAATTACAAGTTTGATACTACTTATATTATTATTGTTTTATTTTTATCAAAATATAACATAAGAAAAATCAGAAATGATTTAACCAATCAATTTGTATCTGAAGCTTGATATCTGAATTTGCTGTTTTATCACTAGAAATCCTTAAGTTTTTACTTCAACAGTGGAATGATTTCATAATGTTTTGCTAAAACATATATTGGTAAAGAAGAAAGCTGATTAACCAAGACTTTTATTCCAAGACATTTAAATATATATATATAGTATTGAATCACAATTAATGTGTAAATAGTTATTGTAGCCCTTTTATTGGTTTCTTTCTTATGACATGTGGTTCTGTCTGTGATACATTTACCTTTAGTTTATGGAGTACTCATTATTTTCCCATTTACTGACATGATAAATTTCTTTTTCTTCACTCTTTAGCCTTAAAAATCTTTCATTAGTCATTTCTATTTATTGATCTAGCTATCCATGTTTTCCTATTTATCATTAAATACTTTTGTGTATATTCTTAAGAATGAGAAAATCTCCCTGTGAGACACCAATGTAGTTTTTAAAAATCAGGAGATTTATTATAATGAAGAATACTACAATTTTTTCCATGATTCATATTTAAATTTTGTTAATATTTGTGTAATAGCTATTTTTATTTCCTGTTTCAAAATAATTTAATGATTATGCCTTTCATCCTTCAGTATCAATATGGAATAGCTTCCGAGTCTTCTTTAAATTTTTTAACCTTGATATACTTGAGTTTAGAGCTAGTATTTTGTAGAAGGTATTTCCAATTGAGTTTGTCAGAAAGTCCTGATTTATTAGTTCTTTTGATTTTCAGATTTTTCAGGAAAATACTGAGGGACGACTGACGCAGGTTGTTTTTATTTGGAAGCTCTGGTGGGGTAGCAGTACACATATTGCATTGCTAACTACAAGGTCAGTAGTTCAAAACCACCAGCCCCTCCTCTGGAGAAAGATGGAACTTTCTACTCCCTTAAAGAGTTACAGTCTCAGAAACTCATGGGGGCAGTTTTGACTGGTCCTGCAGGGTCACTCTGAGTTGGCAACCGCTCAATGGCAGTTAGATTTTGTTTTTGTTTTATTTCATTCTTCTCTTAGATGATAGGTCTTTTAGAACTTCATAATTTTGTATTTTACAGCCTCACAGTAACTAATGTCCTACAGATAATCATTATGAGTTTGATAACATTAGATTTTTGATGAGGACTGCAAATTTTATTTAAAACACGTTGGATTGGAGGAGAATATTTTCCACAGAAAACATAAACTTGCCTGAAGACTTAATTTCTTAGTTAGGGATTGCATTTTATGAAGAAAATTTCAAGTCTGCTTCCTCATTACCTCTTAATTAAGCCTGCTTTCTTGATCTAATATAGCAAAACAAACAGCAACATTATTCACAATTTCTAGAATTTATTTCACTGAAAATTTATCTGGCATTTTATGTGGATATCACTGTCACTAATTTAATCCTGGACTATTCAAACCCTATAAATTCTGGCGACATTTCCAGACCTCTTTGGGCCTGATAAAATAACAAAACAAAACAAAAAAACCCAGACTTTTTTCTGTCCATGTGATCATTCAAAATTTTACTGGGATATATTTAGATTAATAATAAGTACTTTTCCTTCTTAATCCTTTCTGCCACAATAAATAGTGCTTTCACATCTTGTTGACTGATTAGAATAAGTATGGATCTCATATTTCTGGATCCTTTTGGAACAAGCGTAGAGTTTGAACTCTTCTGTGAATTGCTACGTAGTCTTGTGAATTTAGCTGAATGCAAGTTTCCATCCTACTTAGCTTTGAAATCCCAAGTTTTTGAAATTTACTCTTCTACTAGGCAAATATTTAATGAATCGCTGCTGTGTACTTGAAAGTCTTTGAGATGCTGGAGGTACAATGATGACTGAAACAGACAGCCTATGCCTTTAAAGCCTTATATTCTAATTGGATGTGGTATACCACAAGTAAGTAAGCAAGATGTTATCAGGTGATATGCCATGAGAATCAAAAAGTAAACAATAAGTTATGATAAAAAGTGCATGCCAAGTTACTTGAGGTGGATTGTCAAGGATGAGTTATTTGCGACCTGGTATTTCAGGAGCCCAAAGGGCCAAGAGAATGGTGGAGCCAGGACTAGGGAGAGAGAGCAGGAGCATAGTAGGGCTGGGAAACAGCAGATGCAAGGGCCATGAGTTGGGAATGAGCTTGAGTCATGCCAGTACAGTGATGGAGGCAGAGGTGGTAGGAGCAGAATGAGTAACAGGGAGAGTGAAAACACGAAGTGATTGGGATTTGCTTAAAAAGCAAAGGCAGCCTGAATGTTTAAAAAAGATGGTACTTTAGACATAAATGAGGGATCTTCAACAAGTTTCTGAAAGAAAAAATGGAACAAAGAATATTTCCGTGGCCTTTTATAAGTCCATATATTTATTTATACACACACATAAGCATATATAAATAACACATACACATAAATCCACAGATGTAAGAGTAAGTAAAAAATGCTTTGAGATTACAAAAGCTTTTATTAAGCAAAATTATCAAAATGTGAAGCTATTGGGTTTTAACATATTGTCCATTGCAGCCTATCACGTCTCTAGGTGGTGTGTCCTTATCTCCAACACTTCCCTGCAGTGTTCTACACCCTTTGATTTACACCACATGAAAACAATGTTTGAAAACCTCAAGGGATTCCGATTGTGCTTCTTTTCAATATCCTTTGTATGTGGGAATAAAAAGAAACATGAAGAGGGTAGATCCGTGCAATAGGGTAGAAGGCTACGCTTTCCTCATGAAATTCTCATAGGAAAGCCCTTCCACCCTCAAATAATGAGCATGTGCACTGTGGTGCTGGAAGGGAAAAAAATCCTTCAGACAATTTTATACATCCACTGGCAGCAGAGATATATTTAATCATGTTTTGTTTGGAATAAGACAGTTCCTAAATGAACTCAAATTCTATTACTAATACTTTTTGAGTCATACTCATATGCATAATAATAAAAATACTGTTTTCTAGTGGAATAGGTATAACTTATTAAATAATTAGTGAGTATATTATTTTTGAAATTCATGAGATGCTAGGCAGTGACAACTTTTTGCATTCGTGAAACTCCCTGTTCTGCCCATTAAAATTAGCATGAATCTCAGTGGGATATATTCTGATAGCGTGCCAGAGGGTGGAGGAGCCCCCCAGCGTGGAAGACACTCAAAGTTTGACTCAGAGAGGTTTACTTCCTCAGAGCAGATGACGGACAGGAGTCCATGCAGAAAAATGATGCTTGGAAATGGTGGTAGCTGTTGTACAATTCTGCTTCCCACTATTGAACTATGGAATGATGTGATACATATATTTAAAAAAATTAAATAAAGATTTTTTTAAAAAACGAAATGTATGTCAGAAGAAATACTTAACGTTGCTCATGAGCATATTTATGGAGTACCTAAAGTGAGAAGGAAGATATGAATTCTACTCTAGTAACGAGTTACAATCTTAGAAATCTGCAGGGCCAGTCCTACCCTGTCCTGTAGGATTGCTATGAGTCAAAATCCACTCAATGATAGTGAACGAGTGAGTGAGTGAGTGAGTGAGTGAGTGAGCGAGCGAGCCTGTGTAGGCTAGAGAAACAAATCCATGGACACTCATATGTGTATAAGAAAGAGCTTTATATACAAGAGCAATTGAATATTGAGAAAGCGGCCCAGCCCAGTCCAGTTCAAGTCCATTAGTCTAATATTAGCCCATATGTCTGATAGCAATCGTGAGTCCCTCTTCAGATTCATGAAACACATGCAATGACGCTGAATGTAGAAGATCACAGGCCAGTGAGTAGAAAGTCCGTGGGTCCAGTGGCATTGGAAACATCTCAGTGTTGCAGTGGTCTCCATGTGGCCACTCCAGTTTCAAGGGCTGCATCAGGGTAGGTCCATGCGGCACCTCCTCAGGGACGTCTTGGACCAAGTCAGTCGTGTCAGTT